CTCCCTAAGATACAATAATCCCTTATATGAGGGACCAATAATCCAGAGAGACTATTAATCCGAAGCAAAAAAATTGAATCAAACAACGGACTATTAGCCTGAATGGACTAATAGTCCAATCTCATGACCCAATTCTTCAAAACAAACACCACCTTAGAGTTTATAAGGGAAATTAAGAAAAAATGTTATATAAACTAACAATTCTTACTAACTGATGTGTTATTTAAAATTAATTTATTTCAATAGTATAATAAATATCACATTAGTAAGTAAAAGGATATTATTGAATATTAATTTTTTATATTAAGATTAGTTTTAATGTTTCATGAGATTAATGAATATTTTAATTACACTTCTAGAAAGAAAATGAACTTAGAGATTTTCAAAACATTGGCCACTTTAGGATTCCACAAAGTGGAGATAAATGTGCTATCTACTTTTGGATGTTTCCTTAACCTCCTTGTCCCTTTGTCTTGATACTAATATCAGTTTTGTGAGGTATTTGGCTTTGCAAAGAAAACAAAACTAGGGTTTGGAAGCACTTGTTACAAATTTCTTGTAATTCCCACACTTGCCCCCACTAGGAAACAAAAATGAGGGCATGGTTTGGCTTTGTTGGGGCATGTTTGGACTCTAGCTAAGTTTGGGGAATATTAAAGTCTTTAGCCAACCCTGATTCCCCATCCACCTTAGGTCAAGACAAAAAAAAAACACAAGAAAAAGGTTTTAGAGAGGGAATAACAAAGTTTTTAGAGAGAGAAAAAGATAAATAAAAAAGTTATTTTTAGAGAGAGAGAGAGAGAGAGTGCAAGGCACAATTACTGTAATCGAACTGTATATCAAATCGGTGAAGGTTACTGTTGATGATTTATTATTCCTATTTTAAAATAATAGTATTTTTTGAGAATTTTAATTTTTTTAATAGTACAATTATTACATTTTAAAATATTAATTTTTTAAAATTACCCTTTGATGGTATATTTAAAAAATATATATCAATTGTCATGATTGTACTTTTTATGTTATTAATGAATTTAAAAGAAGAGAAAAATAGCAAATTCATCATTAATTTTTAAAAAGTGTCAAATAGTTTAAGACAATAAAAAATGAAATAACGGACTAATATTTTGAGGCGGAAGGAGTAATTCAATTAATCCGAATCGCTTATTATAAAGATATTATTTTATATATTTTTAAATATTTTTATTTCATTTATATATAAAAATTTTCGTGAATATTAAATTTTTTGGAACAATGACAAAATCACAAATAAGTTGAGAGGGATTGTAAAACCGAGCTTGATTTAGTTTGTTTATTTTTTTCATATGGAATGAATAAAATTGTTTTTCTAAAACTAAAAGTCATATTTCCAACCACTATTTTGAAAATCAAACTAGGGTAGGACGGTGGAATTAGTTGAATGGTCAATTAATTTTAATTCTCGTTCAAATTAACTTTTAGAATTGTTTTTTTTTTTAAATTCATTTATTTTGTTAAAAACATTTAAAATTGTGGTTGGACAGATTGACTCATGAGTTCTAGTCACGATTCAATAGTTCGAACTGGTTGAAAATTATGTCCTATTATTTTCTTTCACACACACACATAATGTATATATATATATTGATTTAAAACTTCCTCTTTTATTTTGGGAAGAATTTTATTCGGAGCTTCAATATAGATTATAATGTCTCTTTATGAAAAAAGAACACAGAAATTCCATTTGTGGTTATATGAATCAAATTGATTGAAGAAGATTTGAAATTTTAATTTTTTTCCTGAAATAAAAAATACTGCATTCAATCAAACAATCAAATTGTTTAGAGAAGGTATTGAAAATTTAGAAATCAAAATTAGTGACCCATTTAACTATATATGATACGATACGATTTTTTTAGCTTATTTTGGGAAGATGGTTAAAAGCCATCTTCTAACTTTTAACCCATTTTGAGTCATATTATCTCTCATATATTTTTATATGAATTTTTGGAAAAAGACAAAAAAAAATCAAAAAGTCGGTTTTTAATCAACTTCTCAAAATATCACAAGAAAAGCACAATTAAGAAATCTAGGAGGTTGGACCTCAAGGTCACATGTTCAATTCCCCTATCTCTTGGGCCAATCTCCTGGGCGAAGCATAGTTGGTTAGGAGATTGGACCTCAAGTTGTCTAATCAGCACTTGGTGTGGGTTCAATACTCCATCGCTAAGCGGAGCTTGTCTTGAGAGGTCGGGGCAAGTTCCCAGGTTATAGTCTCCCGGCTAACAGGACACCCTAGTAATCTCTGTAAGGGGCGCTGCCTTGAACCTGCGGGAGGGCAGGGAGGATTTTCCTATAACAACAACAAAAAAATAAAATAAAATAAAATCTAGGTTTTTAGATAAGCTTTCTTGTAATTTTAATACCTATATTTTATTTATGTATATTTTTAAATATATTTATAAGGTAATTATAAAATCAATTCGATGCTGATTGACCTAACAATTAAATCAATGATACTTGATTCAATTATTTTTTTAGTTTACTCAACAGTTTAAGTTTTAAAACATTGGTCCCAAAAAATAATAATTCTTATATTGTTTTGTTATATTTATCTTACAAAAAAGTAAACGCTTTATTTTCAAATCATTCCTACAATTTTTTTTTTGAAGAACAATATAAATATAATTATTTGATTGATTTGTTTTTTTCATAATTGATGTTCGCATAAAAACTTACAAAATAAATAATTTAAATTATTAAAATTAGATTCATGGTTAGTCCCATGGATCCGACTAGACAATTTAATCCACATTTGTAGATTGAAGACGTCTCTACTTTTTAAAGTAAAAGTTGATAGTACTAGTTGCAATTAATTCCTCACTAAGAAACCTAATTGCCCTCTCCTTTATTTTTTTTTGTGTTGTTTCTATCATCATACTAGTCATTACCGTTCATTTTTTCTCCATCATCGGCTTCTCACTGAGGAAGCTTTCAGATTTGATTTATAACTGAGATCTGATACTGTTAAACGCATTGTTATATGTTAGGCGATCACCTTAGATTCAAAATGTTTTATTATGTAATGTAGAGGCGGGAATCAAGGTACCAAAGTTACTAGTTGTGATGATGAACGGATTGTGAAGGTAATTGGTATTGTTTGCTTGGTAGTGATCAATTTTTCTTTTTTTCTTTTTTTTTTGTTGCAATAATATCTCTCTATGTAAATATTTCCTCCTTTAATGGAGGTTTTTTACTCCTTACATAGGAGGTTTATTTTTCTCCCTATGTGGAGACTCATATCCTCCTTGTGTTGAGATTCTCTTTATCCTTTTTGGAATTTATTTTGTACTATGATATATTTTATTGGATGATTTGTTGGATGTGCAATATCATAACTCTTATACTTTTTATAAAAAAAAAAAAAAACAAACAAACAAAGAAAGAAAGAATAATACTCATTTCTTAACTTTAAGATAATTGATTTTTATTCAAATAAATAGGATGATGGGAGCAGGAGTGGGGGTTAATTTTATAATTAAAAAAATGACTATACCAATAAAAATAATACTAATAATATGATATATTACAAATAATAATTTATAAGCGATAAAATTAAATATTCCATCCATCCCAAAATATTAGTTCCTTATTTCATTTTTTGTTGTTTCAAAATATTAATTCATTTTCACAAATCAAGGAATAAAATAATATAAATTTATCATTTTACTCTTTTTTTAATTCATTAATAACACAAAAGTACAATTATGACAATTGATATTTCTAAAAAAAAGTACCATAAAATAGTAATTTTGAAAAATCAATATTTTAAAATATAATAATTGTACTACAAAAAAAAAGTTAGATTTTCCAAAAATAACTGTTATTTTGGAACGGAAGGTGCATGTAAAATAATAAATAAGAAGTGAAAACAAATATAAAATATAATATTTTAGTAAGGGTACATTATATCGTTGGTCATTTTAGTTTGAGCAAAATTTTATTTTGATTACCGTAATTTTAATTTGAACGATTTAAACCCAAGACTTTTAATTTTATTATAACGTAATCTTTCCGTCATCTGTTACTAGCATTTTGAACGAAAGAAAAAAAAAAAAAATCACCTTCAAACCTAAATGAATTAAAGTGGTATTTAAAATAAATTATAAGAACTACTGGTACAATTTATTCATTACACAAGTGATTCTTATAATTTGTTTTGAACTTTATTTTAGTTTCTCTAATGACTTTTAATTTTATTATAACGTAATCTTTCCGTCATCTGTTACTAGCATTTTGAACGAAAGAAAAAAAAAAAAAATCACCTTCAAACCTAAATGAATTAAAGTGGTATTTAAAATAAATTATAAGAACTACTGGTGCAATTTATTCATTACACAAGTGATTCTTATAGTTTGTTTTGAACTTTATTTTAGTTTCTCTAATTTTGCGTGTGATCTTTTTCATTTTAAATTCAAATTGTAAGTGACAGATGGACTATAGCGAAACAAAATTAAAAGTATGAGGCTAATTGTTTAAATTGAAAGTATGAGTACTAAAAGCCAATTTGGGAAGTTAGTTTTTTCAGTGACTTTTGACTAAAATATATGGCAAAAAAGTCAATATTTAAAAACAACTATGACTTTTTATATTAAAATAGAATAATGTTAGGAATTATGAAAAAAATATCATGAAATGTATCATGAAAATTTTTCATCATTTGATTAATATGTGGCGTTTTATTATATGTATAATCCAAAGATGGAGAATTTTTCATAATTATCTTCATGATATTTTTTCATGATATCTAATATTACTCATAAAAATATGTAAAAGAATAAAGTGAATAAAAATAATTTTTTTAAATTTTTATATAAATTAATTATTTTAATCTTTTAAATAACTTTTAAATTAAAATAATCACGCACCATGACATAAAAATATTTCACTTAAAAATTTACCTTATTCCCTATTCATGATAAAACCCATTCCAGAAGTTAAACCGAACCGGCACAGTATCCGATTAGCGGTTGAACATGTTGAAGCTGTCGGTCCGATCCGCTTCAGCAGAGAGAGAGAGAGAGAGAGAGAGAGGGCTCTCTTTCTCACAAATTCCATATTCTCTCTGAAAGGAGAAGGACACCAAAGCAGTAACGACAAAAACCGACCCCCCACGCATTGTCGACAACGTTTCCATGAAGAACAGCCTCCTCCTCATTCGTACCTTATTATTATACCTTTAATTGAACAACAGCATACTGCTCTCTCTCTCTCTCAAAATCGAAAGAAAAACCCATAAAGCTCTGAACAGCAAGCCTTCTGACACAGAGAGATCAGAGAAGCAACTCGGTGAATTTTCTTGGGGCTTCAATTGGGTTTTTGATCAATTGAAAAACCCAGTAAGGGATTTCTGGTTCTTGCTTTGGTTGGTGAGTTCTTCTCGGTGACGATTCTTTAGCTAGTTCTGTTACTGTTTGTCTGTTCTCTCTGTTTTCATGCTTTTGATGATTTGTTTGTGAATCTGATCTGAAATATTGAGGTGTTTGATAATACCCAATTGAACTTGGCATTTCTAGTAACTGAATTTAATTTGGATGTTATCACTAGTTGCTGAAGAATCAAACCCTTTCTTTGTTAGACCTTACTTCACATCTCTGCCTCTATAATCTGATGATTTTCTGATTATAAGTGACCTTTTTTTGGCAAAACCCAGTCTATGAATTGTCCTTCTTTTCTTCACCTCTTTTGAAAACTCTAAAAAGAATTATAACCATATTCTCATATTGTGATTTCTTGCAAATTTGGTTGTTGCATAAAGAGTTTGATACTCCATAGAATACCTTAACTGTGTTCACATTTGTTTAGTTCTTGTTAATTCAGTCTCAATCTGTGTCTTGTTTGAAATTTCCTGTTTTTGTTTTTTTGTTTTTTTCCCAATTCTCCTAGATTGTCATACCAATGTTTCAAGATGATGGGTCGTCTTCTATAACTTCAACGCCTCTTCAAGCCTTTCCCATTATGTCTCTTTCCCCTGGCTTTGGATCAGCATACCCGTGGCTCAAAGAGCTCAAATCCGAGGACCGAGGCCTGTATTTGATCCATCTGTTGCTGGCTTCTGCAAATCATGTTGCTACAGGCAGCCTTGAAAATGCTAATATCACCCTTGACCAAATTTCTCAACTTGCCTCTCCCGAAGGCGATACAATGCAACGCATAGCCGCCTACTTCACTGAGGCACTCGCTGAACGGATTCTCAAAGGTTGGCCCGGTCTTTACAAGGCCCTCCATTCTACTAGAATCTCTTTGGTATCAGAAGAAATTCTCGTCAGAAAATTGTTTTTTGAGTTGTTTCCCTTCTTAAAAGTGGCTTTTGTGATCACAAACCAAGCTATTATTGAAGCCATGGAAGGGGAGAAGATGGTTCATATAATTGATCTAAATGCAGCAGAACCTGCACAGTGGGGTGCACTTATTAAAGACTTGAGTGCTCGTCCTGAAGGCCCACCCCATTTGAGAATTACTGGGGTTCATCAACAAAAAGAAGTCTTGGAGCAAATGGCTCATATATTGACTGAAGAAGCTGATAGGTTGGATATTCCATTTCAGTTCAATCAAGTAGTTAGCAAAGTAGAGGATCTTGATATTGAAAAACTACGTGTTAAAACCGGGGAGGCCCTAGCGATTAGCTCAGTTCTTCAACTGCATACGCTTTTGGCTAATAATGATGAACTCAGAAAAAAATCCGCAATGACACCGAATAATGCAAATGGAGTTAACTTGCAAAGAACCTTGCAAATGAACCAACGCACTTTAGGTGAGTTGCTTGAGAAAGATTTGGTTAATGGGTATAGTCCAACAAGTCATGACTCGGCTTCTTCGTCGCCACTATCTTTAAACACTTCAGCAAGGATGGATAGCTTCCTTAATGCCTTATGGGGTTTGTCACCGAAGGTCATGGTGGTAACAGAGCAAGATTCAAACCATAATGGATCGACTCTCATGGAGAGGCTACTGGAAGCATTGTACTTCTACGCAGCATTATTTGATTGTTTGGAATCTACTTTGCCAAAAACATCATTGGAGAGACTGAAGGTGGAGAAGATGCTATTTGGGGAGGAAATTAAAGACATCATAACAAGCGAGGGAGCCGAAAGGAAGAAAAGACATGAAAAGCTTGAAAAGTGGATTCAAAGGCTTGAGTTAGCCGGTTTTGGGAGTGTACCTTTGAGCTATTATGCTATGTTGCAAGCAAGGAGGTTGCTGCAGAGTTATAGTTGTGATGGGTATAGAATCAAAGAAGAGAATGGCTGTGTGGTGGTTTGCTGGCAAGATCGATCTCTTTTCTCAGTATCGGCTTGGCGGTGTAGGAGGTAGATCGTTGCTTATTTACAGTGTAATGTTTTCATTTTTTCTTTTCTTTTTGTTTTCTGTGTATGAAGAATTTTGTTCCTTTGGTAGTGCGTACTGTTTGGTTGGTTTTATGACCGTCTCTTGTGCTTACCTACACTACACCTCACAGTAGTGATTTCTTTTCATTTTATTTCTTAACTCAAGCTGTTTGTTCTTCGTGGATAACTTGTGATAAAACCATTCAATTTCTTTTTTTAATTGATTAGAATGACTGCTGCAATTTCATCAGTTCTAAGATCAATATTTGGTTATAGAATATTCTCTCGTAGGACCTTGTTCAAACTCATGCTTTCATTGTTTCCTTGTAATAAATATCTCTAATATATGAAGGATCTCTAATACATGAAAGATCGTTTGAGTTTGAGAATCTGAAGTGTTAAGGTGATATTGGCTGAAGTTACTTTGGATATAGTATTTTGCATTGGTCTAATCCCTTATAGCTTGTTTTCTGTGATCATGATGTTTTATGTCATGATCATAAAGCATGTTACTTTAGTTTTTCTTAAAACACATTATTGCATGCTTCATCTATACCATATATTCAGCTTATAGTCCTTTTTAGTCTCGATCTTGGTCTCCGCTGTAGGAAGTGTACAAATTGCCTTGTCCCTGCCCCTTGAGGTGTAAAAAAAAGGGATAATAAGACCCACTTTATGAATAAAACCACAAGTTAATCAAAGGCGGGATAACAAGAAGGTGAGGCCCTTCTTGTTTTCATCTATTCATTGCACGTTGCTTGCAGTAACCTTCTAGCCCAAAGTAAACCCTTTTTTACGTTTTCTTAATATTTGTGTTAACTTACTTCGAACCTCAGTTTCAGTGAACCCCCCATCTACTCTTCTAAAGGAGTATTACTCGGCCCTCAAATTAGGGTGGTGGAGGGGGAAATGTGGTCTGTCAAGGTGGCCGGTTGTCTTCAGTGTTCACATAGGGGGGGTGGTGTTATGGAAAAGGAAAACCATTAGGAAAGGGTGAGCAGATTTCTTGTAGTTCACGAGTCTTGGGGTGGAGATTGGGCCGAGGGCAAGGTTTTGGTATGAGATATTGCGTTAAATGAGGTTGTGTTCTAGGACCTGTTTGGTATTGATGCGGAGAAAGGATTATTTACTGAGGATAACTTGTGCTTTTATGGAAGTTGTATGGTGTGTGGGTTAGTTGGCATTAGTGTGTGGGAACTTTAAATTGTTATATGTTTTTGTATGGTTTTCATTTGAAAAATTCATCTATAAAAATCAATTCTCCTTGCAAAACCATAGATGTTTAGCTTGGATGATGATGCCAAGTTGATCTTGAGTAACCCACAACTTGACAATTTTAGCATTTGAAGGGTATAAAAATGGTTCTTCCCCCATTCTTCCCTCTTTTAGGTGTAGCTACATTTGGGATAACTTTGACAGTGGACAACCCTAGTGAGAAGAGGCAAAATGTTTCCTAATAGATGCAGCTTTTGCAACAATGCTTACCTGGAAATGACCTCGTGTTTAACTCCCGCTAGCGACACCTTGACTTACCTGGGTTTATTGGGGTGATTCCAAAGTGGTACTACATAGGAGAGGGGTTCTTCATCATAAATATAAACATTTTTAATGTTTCCTATAAATAAAAATAATAATAAACTATAAACATCATCAAATGTAACAAAACACAACAGATTTTGATATTGTCCAGTTGTAGATGCATAAATTGAAGCAATTGATGTTCATCTCTTTGTTTATTTGGTTGTGAGGAAGGCCTTTTACTTTTCATCAGATACTGATGTTGACTTCTTTGGTGGTATATGTACTTGTTATGTGCATGATGGGTTAGATTGATTGGAAAATAAAACTAAAAATCCAGTTTCCATTTTGTTTTCCCATGGTGTAATCCCTGTGTGCCAAGTGTAAGCTTGGGCCATGTTTGTTTGGGTGGACATGAGTTTGGGATTGGACTAATAGTCTAATAACATTATTAATCCGATATTTGGTTAAACAATTGAAATACGGACTAATTATTTTAAACTTGACAGATAGGATACATAATCCAACGGATTCGTAGTCCTAAGACTATTAGTCATGGGAATGCTAATCCAGTCTGCCCAAACAAATATAGCCTTAGAGAATAGAATTGACACCACACCACCATCACAACCACCAACTAGCAAACAACAAAATAAATAAATGAATAATAAATCCTAAACTCATTATTTTGTAAACAATAAAATTTTACTTTATTAATTTGGACAATAACATTTTCCGTGTTTTAGTTTAGCATTTAAACAGTAACATTGAATTAATAATGTTGATAGAATTTTTTTTTACTGTTTTCTCTATTGAACATACTCAAACAATTTCTTTGTTTGAAATCTTAATCTCATTATTCAAACTGAAAACAAATAAATAAAATAAAATCTTTGAATTTAAATAAATTTTCAACCGGTGAGAGATTGTCACAGATCTAAACCTCCAGCCACAATATTCAAGCAAATTGGCGTTGGAAACATCAGTAGGCGAGCATCTTAAGACTCTGTTTGAATATTGAATTTGAATATAAATTTGTAGAGGTAAAATAAAAAGAAAGAGAATTATGAAAAACACGCGCATATATATATATATATATATATCTTATATTTTATTTATATTTTCTTTCTCCTTCCACCCCCCTCTACAAATACAATCTCTATCTTAAAATGTTTAAACACATGATTACGTTGCCTTTTAATTATTTAATAATCAAAAACTGTGAATTATAAAAACTTTTTCCATGTATTGATTAATTCCCTCCAAAAATTGGAACTCATTTAGGGTTATTTTTTTCAAGATGAAATGGATATTTTGTCAGAATGTCAAGGAAATTTCATCCTATCACCTTTCATGAAATTGGAATTTCATGTTTCTAAACTATTTAAAAATTAAAAAAAGAGAGGGGGGACGTTTAATGGCAAGCAAGATTTTGTTAACAACGCCCTAAAACCATTTATTAACAAGTTTAAAATGATTATTATACATTATTTATTTATTTTAAATGTGTAACCAAGTATGTATAACTATTTTATTTTTGTTAATCAAAATTTCTTTTTATAATAAGTTAAAGGAAAATTTTATGGTACACACTCCTTTCGGGTTATGACTTTTATGGTCTTTGTTTATCACTTATTGTTGTGTTACTTATAACTTATTTTGATATTAGTTATGATATGATTTTAGTTATAATTCAATTTTTTTTTTTATTATACTTTAAGTGGTGCTTGGTTATTGTTGGTTTTTTGGCTTTCGAAGGTTACTTTTGTAATTATGAGCGTGCCAGCAAGGATCAATCAGTCCTTACAGAATTATAATCGCCAAACAATTATTCAGACGATTGTGTTATGGTTCTTTTGGCCTCAATGAAGAGGACTTTTACTGGTGGCTTACTGGTAATTTGACTTCAGAGAACTTGAGCATAAGAACAGTTAAATAAACTGAAGCATTTCATTAGTATGAAAAACTTACAATGATCTTAGTTCGGTAGAGAATTACAGCGACAATATACTCGAAAACTACTCCTACAAATGAAGTGCAGCGCAGGAACTTAAAGTACAGAAATATAAAGGACAGGAAATAACACTGGAATATGTAAAGTAATTCTTCAGATCTTTCTTCGTTCCCTTCTCTGAAGTCCTTCCTGCTATTTATACTCTCCGAAAATAACCATCGAATTGTACTTCAAACCGTCGAACTACTCCTCCGTAATCGCTGATCATGCTACCTTATAAGTATTTCCACTACGCCTTCACTTGCAATTAGGCTTCCCCCTTATATTTGAATTTGAATGTGAGCAACCGTTGAAGCCACGTCACCGTATATCTCTTTGTTGATCCGCTACTACTCAGATCTTATAGCAACTAATATTAACTGCCACGTGTATGATCAGGATCGAAGGCCTGCCTGGTCTCCCCATATTACCCTTACTTTGCCACGCGTCGAAATGTCATTGGCTAGTACAAAATGTGTAGCCAACATTAACCCCCGCACTAATATACCCAAGACTTGGTGATATTAGTGGATCAGGGTCCCTTTTCCCACGTCTTAGAACGTGCATGGGTTTTGCATCTTCCCAGAAATGCAACTGTCACTCACCATCTGTATTAATACTCTCGTCCTAATCCTTTAAGTACTTTCACTGTCTTATTATTCGAACAGACTGATACATTTCAATGGCCAAATTAATTCTTTCCTCCAGCGATGAAGCATACGAAGAGTCATATGTCGATGCTATTTTTCATCGAAAGCATGCATTTATTGGCCACCTTTACCCACCTTTCTATATTCAGGTCATGGACGCCTTTGCAAATTACCGACCTTTGGATTACGAACACATTGCTCTTAACCCTTCGATTCAGAAGGCTACAAACGTAGACATAAGAATTTTTCCCTCTGACCTACCTTTACAGTTCGAACAATCTGCTCTCAAACCTTTGATTCGGAAAATTGCAAATATGGATTTGAGCAACTCTTCTTCACAAATTTCTGTATGGGATAAAGCTACAACTTCTTCCTCTTCTGGGGTTTCTGACTGGACAAGCTGTTTAGTACCTGAGACTTATGATTTGAAGGAGCGAATCAACCACCATTTTGTTGAGTTCACTGACCCTTTAGAGTTTCCTTCCTATACTCGAAGTTCAGTTGTTTATCCCTATGTGCCCATTGACCATCGGCGTAGTCTGGAGGAGAATCTTCTTGTAGCATGGTATACATCTTCCATGCCTACAAAGATAGTGCACACTGCCCCTCGCCCAGAAGAAGCACAAGGGTATAACCCATCATTCTTAGCCCAGAAGGCGAAGATCTGTTCTTCTGACTGGCTTGATTATATTAATGCCTTTGTTCCTTCTGCTCCCGTATCATCCCCGAAAACAGAAGTGTCCACACCTTCTTCTTTGTCTCCCGAAATTGAAGTATGCATACCTTCTCCCCCACCAATTCTTTCCTGGACAGAGAAATTGAAGATTGCCCTATCCATGGAGAATGTCTTTCCACCTTATAAACCTCTATCTCCTCCTCCTCCAGTTGAGCGGAAACAGGCTCAGCTTCTGCTTGCAGCCTTCTCTCACTTGCCTTTTAATGTACTCGAGGACGAAGTCCCTCTCAAGAACCTTCGATGGGCTTGTGATATTCTGACTAGGGGCCATGTCCTTAATCCCCTTGCTCAGGCAGAACTTCATATGTTTCTGGACCAACTTCCATTGCTTCTTAATTGGCATCGAAATTCTG